GAAAGCTAAAGAGTGCGTGAGACGATAATTCATGCAATAACTTCACTTTCTTTTCCCTGAGCTAACAAACATGAAAATTTTCAATAAAACTTATATTTTATGGTAATACAAGAATTATAACCTTTTTAGAGCACTTTTCGGGTGATGAACATTGACCAGGATGACAAATCTCTGGGCACAGATGAGTACAATACGGCAACTTTCTGCATAATGAACAGCACCACTAAGATCCTCTCTTAATTCAAAAGGGAAGCAAATAGTAGAGAGAACTGGAATAATACTTAAAGGTGTACAACCGAACAAGCAAAAGAAAACATGTATTTGTATTACCTGTGACAAGGCCCCTTACATGAACGAGCAGCCATTTGCTCCTTTTCGGACAAGCTGTTAAAATATATGCACTCAAAAACATGAACCATGGAACCACAGTGACACGATCGCTTTACAAGCACCTTGCAAGGAGGGCAGTCTCCAGGATGACATGGCAAAGGACAAGGATGAGGACATGCAGGCTCCCTCTCCTGAATGAACACATTTTCAGCAATCATGCAACGTTTAGTTTCAAAAGTACTAAAAGAAAGTCGAAGATAATAATTGTAGTAAAATTAAGGTAAAGATCAGTTTTCATGGAAGGTGGAGGATCCTAAAGAGAATCATCAGAGCAGTCTAATATGAAGGAATTAATAACACCTTTTTGCAAGGAAGTTGACACTTCTCACAAGGCTCACTTCTTGCTTGTCGGACTGATGGCACCGTTTGATTCTTGAGGGGGTGACAAGTTTTTGTGCAAAAGTGATTACCACAAGGTAGAGGATTTCCGCACAAGTTTTCGCAGGAAAATAGTGTTTTATCTGAGCAGATCATCTGATCCAAGGCACAAACAAATGATAAGTGGAATTCAGGAGAAAATATGAGGCCAAGTTGATATAACTAAGTCAAGTAGTTTGAGTTGAAATTCTGTGGTATCAAACACACCATTTTATCTGCCCCGATGTGCTGGCCAACACATGACCTCCAAACAAGTTCTGGGCATGGAGGGCATGGAGATCCTGGAGTGGATTCACTCTGATGAAAGGATTTCTTCTTCTTAGGTTTCAACGTAAATTCCGGATTCGGAGGAGGTTTAGGACCATGACACCTGAAGATTAAAATAAATGAATTTACTGAAATTAGTTGTATAAAGGAAGTATGTTAGAGATATTTTCCAGAGAATAGCTCAAAATCAAAATAATGCATTGAAAAAATCCTGCAAACCTTAGCTTGCAATTGTGGCCACATGGGTATTCTTCCTCACAAAGTAATCTACACGGGTGGCAGGCTCCATAATGGCATTTATGTGGCTGGGGAAAGAACAAAAATAATTGTCATTACCATAACACAAGGCACTGTTAAATAGGGGTAGCATTTATCTACTAACTGCACATTCATGATAATGGTCATGCTATAATTTTAAGAACCTACATGTATGTTCCAATAAAGCTCAAGTGTAGATCCTTGACACAAACTTTGAGACAAACTAGGCCAAACCAACCAACTGTACCTTGGAATTTGGTCCATGCCTGCATAAAGGAGTAATAGGGCATGGCTTACGACATCTGGGAGGCTTTTGATCCATCTCAGTACCGCAAGGAACCTGAATTCAAAATCCATTTGGAAAGTGGAAAATACATCTTCAGACCAATTTGGCCAAGGAACATAAGAAAACTTTCGTTGTGCAACATGCTATGAACCAGGTCTTCTTTTCTAACGATATTAACCCAGAAAGTTTTTTAAAAAAAATATCAGAAAAGATGTTCACTCATAAAGAACAAAAATTGCAATCCTTTTGCAGCAGTCACAAGCAACACCTCTGTTAGTATGCATGTTGTTTATCCTAATGAGACAGTTAGAATCACCACCAAGTATATAGAGATGAACTGCAATGGCAAAAACCCGCACCTCAAAGTGTGTCTGACCGCATGCACATGTAATTGTCACCATCACTGGGCACGGAGCACAAGCACCTCTGTAGAAACAAAGCTGTACTTCATAATTTGCAACTAAAACCTTTTCATTTTCATCTAAAGCTTCAAACTATTTGAAAAGAAAAACTGTTCATTTGTTTTCCCTCTAATACAAGTAGCAATATTTATTGTTGTTTTTTATAGAAACACTCAAGTTTAAGAATGCCATGCCAGACTTGTCATATGGAGTTCAATTTCTCATCACTCTAACTCTGAAGATTTCTCTTGAATAATATACATATTTATATCCACACTATTGAATAACAGAATGTTCCAGCTCAACTAATGTGACTACAGATCTGCCACGGGATAGGGAAACATACCTATGGCATGGAGATGGGCACTTGTGGTTTCCTACATCGTAGCTTTCTTCCACAAATCTAAAAGTTCAAAAATCAATACAAACACAAATGATTATAGACCTAAAATCAGAATTTTACCAGTATAGACCTAAAATCAGAAGCCGAACGAGGAACACAAACCTCTGAGCACGGTGGGCAGTCCCCATCACAGCACCTGCGCTTACAAGCATGCCGCCCACAGTCCCTTAGTCTCTGGCACTTCCTTTCGCATGCTAAATCTTGATGGCAAGGAACCTATTCTAGATCCAATTACACTATCTTTTAGTGAACTCATAAACTAACAAGTGAATCAATCCCTCTTTGATCGAAAGATTCTAAATTTGAGCAAAATAGCAAACGTCATACCTCCTTTTTCAAGCTCCCGCACCGGCAATACTTAATGACAACTGTTCTGCAAGTCTCAATGCACTCCCCACGATGACACCTCTCCGGGCACCTATGGTAGCCGCAACTGAGCATCTTATCACAAGTTGAACCACACAAAGGCACAGAGGCTTTGCAAGACAATCCCTCATGCATTCTCTTTCCACAGGGGCATGTCCTCTTCCCCTGGGACGGGCACGGCCCGCACTCCCCCAAATGACACCCTTTGGTACACTTATGCTGCCCACAGCCAAGCACCTTCTCGCACGGCTCCTCACACCTAAAATCAAGCCGCTCACAAACACTCCTTCTCCTCCTCCTTCTTCCCACATTGGCACCGGTACACTCCCCGCACCCGGCACGGCAAGCAGGGCCCCTGGTGGCAAATCTCCGAGCACCGGTGGATCCCACAAGCCAATACCTTCTTACAAGCATTATTACAAGAGAAATACTTAAACCCACATCGCCGGACGTCCTTCACAGACCCACAAAAGCACCGAGATTCTACGAGCTTCGGGCAGGACGGGCAGGGACCCGGGTGGCAAAGAAGCAAGCAATGGTGGCCACAGCCGTGCTTCAGCGGCCGGTTGCAGACCTCGCCGCACGAATGCGGCAGAACCCACGGGTCATCGCTCGGTGGGTTCTCGAGCTTTCCACAGAAACAGTAATAATTCTTGGGGATTTGAGAATGGGGGTACTCTATCCTACATTTGGGGCAGTTCCAGACTGATACCTCGGCGGCTTTCTGGGCGGAAATGGGAAGGCGGGTGGAGGCCCGCAAGGCGGACAAATCGGAGGCCTGGCGCGCCCAGCTCTGGATGCATATGAGGTGGAAGACGGAGAAACAGACGGAGGTGCAGGACCATGTCGGGTCGGCGGGCCGGATCCGCTCCAGGCATATCAGGCATGACAGAGCGCCGGAGGAGGATGACGTCAGGAAAGATTGGATCTTGGAGAGGTCGGCCGTAGTCGCTGTTGATTTTCCTGTGAATTCCAAGTAGGTTCGGAAAATGGAGTCGGAGAGATCCGAGTGGCGAACGGGTCCGGAGCCAGATTGGCTCTGGTCGGAGTCGGTGTCGGAGTCCGAGTGGTTTGAGGGCATTTTGGGAATTCGGGGCCAAGAGTCGATCTTTTCCTTATTTTACAGAGCGCGGCAGATTTCGGAGATTTTGAGCGCCACTTTGTTGACTCAGCTCAGCCTCGAGTAGCCACTTTAACTCCAAAACTTGATGACAATTGCAAACTATGAAATTACAATTGTAATTCTGATGTGATGCACTGGGAATTTGTAATTAATGATATCTTTCTGAACAAATTTATAATATTATATATATCAAATATATTTTCTATTTGAGAACCATAGGGTCACAAGCTTCACACAAAAAAGTTTTGAACAAAAACACCCTTCAAACAAAAACGTTTTAACAAACTGAACGAAATTTGGCATCTATTATTTCAAGGGTATGATTTGTAAAACAAATAAAGCAATATGACATTAAAAAAATGATAAAAAGATCAACCTGGAGGAGAAAACTTACCCATTCGACGCAAAAGTAATTTTTCTTAGAAACTCGTTATTTATGAAATTCAAATTTAAGATTTTTTTTACTTTAAAAATGTCACCATCTTAATACTAAAATTACTGACTCCACGTAGCGTTTTTAAATTTCGCCCAAGGCTAAACGTTTTAACATGTCATGATTAATACAAAACCCAATGATTGGGTTCACTTTTTTGCTTTTTTTAAATACAATATTTGGCTTTCACTTGAGGAGAAAAAAACACTAGAAGCAGATGGACAGCTAGATATGAAGGGTAATATACTATAAATTAAAAATAAGGCCAGTTTTTATTGTTAAAAAAAAAATAAAAAATAAGGCCAGTTTCTTGGAACAAAAATTTAAAAGCATAATTATGTCAATTTTCAACAAAACATCATTTTCAACATGACTTGACGCGTTTCAAGGAATTATGTTCAAACATGTCGTAATTTGAATTGAATAGTACTTAGTAAATTTACCTCTGGGTGATTTCTTTAAAATTAGTAAAAGGGAATTTGATTTGAATTTATATATAGGCAAAATTTGAGTAGTTTTTACTGAATCAATGTAAAGCAACGAATGAATGATAGGTTACAATTGAAATGGTAACGTAAGTAAAAGAGATTGAGTAAGTTAAAAAACATTTATGAGTCTAACACACAATTTTCTCTATTTGCACTTTAAAATGAGTCTCGTATAATTTCTTTTGAACTCATAAAGCAAGCTATACGATGAGGGTTTTTCAATAAAATCTTTAATTATTATATGTGATGTCTGAGTTCGAAATCTCTATTTGTTGGATAATTTTGGGGTGTGATATTCACATACTTTTTTTTACTTCTCACACACCTTTTAATTTTCGGCTGTTGGATCGGATTAAGTAAAAGAAGATCAATGAACATAAATTAAAAATGGATGTGATGAATAGCACATCTCTAATTTTTTTCAATTTTCTTACTATTCACTTTCATAATAATTAGTTTGGAAAATAATTTTCATCCACCATTTCTCACCTCATATGCACCCCTCTAATTTCGTCGTCATTAGATTGAGCAATTAGAATAACATTAACAAATGTGTACATAAAGTAAAAAGGAAAGGAATCGTCTCTGGATCCCTTTTCATCAAATTCACTAGTCCGAAATTTGGACATTTAGAATTTAACAAACAATTACAATTATTATAATTTTTAAAAGATTCTATATTTGTAGTTATTGAATCAAATTTCAACTATCGATCTCGGACTAAGTGGATTTGGTAGAAAAATCACTGCTTGAGAAGGCCCAAAACCGTTTAAATCAAGTTCTGCATAAACAAACCGTTGAAATCAGAAATTCAGAAACCCTAAACCCTAAAAGCTGACTGCGAGGAAGAAAAACGAAGATGGAGCAGGGAGGAGGCTTATTGGCGAAGCCTAGGGGATCTAGCCGCCGGTTGTGTCCTCGAAGACTGCGTCGACACTAGCGCCGCTTTCGTCCTCCACCACATTCTCAAGCGCTCTCTCTCTCAGCCTCCCCACTCCACGTCCCAACGCCGTCGTTTTTGTTGCCTTCGCCCACCCCTTCTCTCACTACGATCGCATCCTCCGAAGACTCGTACTCCCTCTCTCTCTCTTTACAAAGAATTAAACTTTTACTTTACTTTCGATTGATTGTTCATAGTTTCATGTTTAGCTGCTAACTTTTGTGTTAATTTACATTGGTTAAGCATTTATTAGTAATTGTTATATTTGTTTTCCATTACATTAATGAAATGGGGTTTTTGAATTCTGAATGTGTTTTCTGAACAGGGTTGCAATTTGGCTGCACAGAGGGACAATAATAGATTCTTTTTTCTTGACATGCTTATGGACTGCCCAGGTGAGAAAATCAGGTATAAAATGGTCTTTCAGTTCACTGGCTCAGCCCGGCTTTACTCTTATTTACTAGTTAATTTTCCACCCAATGCAATCCCCTACATGTCCTTATTGATTTACATGTCCTGAGTAGCTAAAAGTTAGTTAATGATCCTCATATAAGGACCTGCAGATAAATAAATCTTCTTTAGGTGCTGTAATCACTGTAATTTGAAGCAATGTAGGATTTACTGCAGGCTGATGTTACCATAGTTCCATTTCGGTTAATAAATCTTTGTCCATTAAGAGAAAAGTGTAAGAGTTGTTAGTATTGGTTATCAGAAATTGTTGGATATCGGGTTTCTTTATATCATTAAATTCATGACAAGAAATCATCTCATTCGTTATGAGCAGACGAAGGGAAAAACAGTGATTGTGGACTAATTGCTTTGTATGGGAAAATCCAACTATGACAATTGCCAACTATGAAGATTACAATTGTAATTCTGATGTGATGCACTGGGAAAATACGTTCCTTAATTAATGTAGTTATGCTTACGTCTGTAACAAATTTTTATATATATATATACAACATATATCTTTACTATTAGAAAGTGAGAATCTTATTAGGGTCACAAGCTTCACCAAAAAGTTTTGAACAAAAACACCCTTCAAACAAAAAGGTTTACAACTGAACGAAATTTGCATCTAATTATTTCAAGGGTATATTTGTAAACAAATAAAGCAATAATGACAAACAAAAAAAATGATAAAAAAATTTCAAATGTGGAGGGAGAAAAACTTACCACATTCGACACAAAGTAATTTTACTTAGAAACTCTTATTTATGAAAGTTCAAATTTAAGATTTTTTTTACTTCAAAAAAAAAATGTCAATAAGTCTTATGCTAAATACTGCTCCACGTAGCGTTTTAAATTTCGCCCAAGAGCTAAACGGTTACATGTCATGATTAAATACAAAACCCAATGATTGGGTTTCACTTTTTTGCTTTTTTAAATACATATTTGGCTTTCACTTGAGTGGAAAAAACACTAGAAGCAGAATGGACAGCTAGATATGAAAGGTATATACTATTAAATTAAAAATAAGGCCAGTTTCTAGGAACAAAAATTAAAAAAAAGCATAATAATGTCAATTTCAAAAACATATTTTCAACGTGACTTTGACCGCCTTTCAAGGAATTATGTTCAAACATGTCGTAATTTGAAATGAATAGTACTTAGTTAAATTTACCTCTGGTTGATTTCTTTAATAATTAGTAAAAGGTGAATTTGGATTTGGATTTGAATTTCTATATAGCAAATTTGAGTAGTTTTACTAAATCAATGTAAAGCAACGAATGGATGATAGGTACAATTGAAGTGGTAACGTAGTAAAGAGAGATTGAGATAAGTTAAGAAGCAATTATGAGTCCCTGTAACACATAATTTTTCTCTATTTGCACTTTAAAATATGTCTTATATAATTTTCTTTGAACTCATAAAGCAAGCTATTCGATGAGTGTTTTTTTAATAATCAAATCTTTAATTATTATATGTCTGAGTTCGAAATCTCTATTTGTTGGATTTTTTTTTTTTTCAATTTTCTTCCTATTCACTTTCATAAATAATTAGTTTTGGAAAATAATTTTCATCCACCATTTCTCACCACATATGCACCCCTCTAATTTCATCGTCATTAGATTGAGCAATTAGAATAACATTAACAGAGGTGTACATAAAGTAAAAAAAGGGAAAGGGATTCGGAGAAGATCCATTTCCATCAAGTTCGGGCTTTTAGAATTTGATTCAACAATTACAGTTTTTTATAATTTTTTAAAGAGCCCCTATTTGTAATTATTGGATCAAATTTTAAATCTTGGACCAAGTGTATTTGGTAGAAAATCACTGCTTGAGAAGGCCCAAAACCGTTTAAATCAAGTTCTGCATCAACAAACCGTTGAAATCAGAAATTCAGAAACCCTAAAACCCTAAAAGCTGACTGCGAGGAAGAAGACGAAGATGGAGCAGGGAGGAGGCTTATTGGACGAAGCGCTAGGGATCTCAGCCGCCGCGTTGTGCTCCTCGAAGACTGCGTCGACACTAGCGCCGCTTTCGTCCTCCACCACATTCTCAAGCGCTCTCTCTCTCAGCCTCCCCACTCCACGTCCAACGCCGTCGTTTTTGTTGCCTTCGCCCACCCCTTCTCTCACTACGATCGCATCCTCCGAAGACTCGTACTCCCTCTCTCTCTCTTTTACAAAGAATTAAACTTTTACTTTTACTTTCGATTGAGTGTTCATAGTTTCATGTTTAGCTGCTAATTTTTGTGTTAATTTACATTGGTTAAGCATTTATTAGTAATTGTTATATTTGTTTTCCATTACATTAATGAAATGGGGTTTCTGAATTCTGAATGTGTTTTCTGAAACAGGGTTGCAATTTGGCTGCACAGAGGGACAATAATAGATTCTTTTTTCTTGACATGCTTATGGACTGCCCAGGTGAGAAAATCAGGTATAAAATGGTCTTTCAGTTCACTGGCTCAGCCCGGCTTACTCTTATTTACTAGTTAATTTTCCACCCAATGCAAATCCCCTACATGTCCTTATCGATTTACATGTCCTGAGTAGCTAAAAGTTAGTTAATGATCCTCATATAAGAGACCTGCAGATAAATAAATCTTCTTTAGGGTGCTGTAATCACTGTAATTTGAAGCGATGTAGGATTTACTGCAGGACTGATGTTAACCATAGTTCCATTTCGGTTAATAAATCTTTGTTCATTAAGAGAAAAGTGTAAGAGTTGTTAGTATTGGTTATCAGAAATTGTTGGATTGTTGGGTTTCTTTATATCATTAAATTCATGACAAGAAATCATCTCATTCGATTGTGACACAGACGAAGGGAAAAACAGTGATTGTGGATTAATTGCTTTGTATGGGAAAATCCAAAAGACTATAAGTGCCTTAGCTCAAGAGAACAACTGTGTCACCGTTATGATTGACGATATTTCCCTCATGGAGGTGGCTGCTAAGGGGTCTACAAATCTTGTGCTAGACTTTCTGCATTACTGTCATACTTTAATATCAGAATCTGTAAGGCATTGCTTGCAACTGTCTCAATTGCTCCACCTTTCATGCTTCCACTCCTTTTGTTCCGTTATTTATTTTATGTCCTTTTCTTGTCTCAGGGTTGTTCTTTAATCATGCTCAATCACGAGGATATCTATTCAGGCACAGCGAAGCCTACCCTTATTTTACAGATGGAGTATCTAGCAGACATTCTGATAAGGGCAGAACCGTTGGCCACTGGGTTAGCCTCAGATGTGCACGGGCAGGTATTTGCTAGAAAAAAACATTATGTCTCTCTTCATAGGGAGAGTGCTAGGAATTATATCCCGTCGCATCATTCTTGTATGGTCCCCTCTACTCATTTGTGATTAATTGCTTACTTTATGGGTCTTTGGTTGTTATGAAAACAGATAATCTAATTAGTTTGTTAACCATACTATGCTCATATGTATGATAGGGGCTTTTGTGTCATGATCCTTTTTCTTGATATCCTTGTTCTTTGCTCTTCACAAATTGGTGTTAACAATTGAAAAATTGTGAGAACTATGTCCGTTTGTATTGCTTGCTACCGTGCTGCTTGTGACTTGCCAGTTGCGACTGTAGTCTTCTATTACTTCACAAAAGGTTCATCCTAATAGTTGTAAGATAATACCTACATTGCCGCACGGATACATGAGTTATGATCCTGATTGTTGTACTTGGTTGCAGTTGACAGTTAAAAACAGGGGGATTTATGATGGGCATGAGGGATCGAGAAACAAGGTGTCGAATTTCCAATTCAAAGTAAAGGAAAACGGTGTCGAGTATTTCTATCCTGGAAGCAAGACTTGAGGACCATATATGCGTTGTCAAGGAATTTCAAATTGTGGGTGAATATAGCGATTGAGGCGACAATGAATGTTGTGATTCTAATTTCAGAATGGAAATGCTAGATTTCTTGTAAATTTGTTATTCTCATCCCGACCTGCCCCGAAACCGAAATAAAAGGACAAGGATTGTCTGCCCTCCTTGTTCCCGTGCCCTTCCATGCCTCATGTTTGTGTGGTCACGGTTAAGTCACGTCAACATTTTATATTACTATTCATTTTTGTCTTATTATCTCTATATAAAAAAACAATATAAAATGTTGACGTGACTTAACCGTGATCATACAAAACAGGAGGGCACGGGACCAAGAAGGACAGACAATCCTTGTCCAAAATAAAATGGGTTGTGAATGGGACTCTTATCATCGATAATTAGCATATGCTCAATGAGCATTTGAGAATGTC